TGCCCTCTTTAATACCCATCACCAGGCTAACCCATCCCCCCACCCCTCTCCCCTCTAGAACCCTCATTTGTTTCTCAGAGTCCATAGTCTCTCATGGTTTGTCCCCCCCCACCGATTTCCCCCCCTTCATTTCTCCCTTCCTACTATCCTCCTCTTCCTTTTTTAAAAACATATAAGGTATTATTTGTTTCAGAGGTACAGGTCTGTGATTCAACAGTCTTACACAATTCACAGCGCTCACAATAACACATACCCTCCCCAATGTCTATCACCCAGCCACTCCATCCCCCCCCACCCCCCACTACTCCAGCAACCCTCAGTTTGTTTCCTGAGATTAAGAATTCCTCATATCAGTGAGATCATATGATACATGTGGATTCTACAGGTATTAAAAGGATAATTAGTGCACATTGTGAAAACCTTTATGCCAATACAACACCTTAGAGAAATGGAAAAATTTGGAAGGCAAAAACTACTAAAGTCTCTCAGACATTGTAAAAATGTTACAAATGTTCTCACAAATAAAACTGTAGGCCAAGAAGACTTCACTGTCAATTCTATCAAATATTTAAGGAAGAAGCAATACCAGTTCTACACAGACTCTTTTAGAAAATTAGAAATGAAGGACTACTTCCTAATTCATGGTGCCTAGCATTACTCTGATTCCAGAACCAGACAGACATTACATGAAAAGAAAATTACAGACTAATATCCCTCATGAACATATATGCATAAATTCTAAACAAAATTTAGCAAATCAAATACAGCAATATATAAAAAGGATAATACAGTATGACTTTTGAAAAATCAATGAATGTAATTACTATATTCAAATCCTAAAAAAGAAAAGTCACCACAATACATGCAGAAAAAGCAGAAGAAAAATTGAACATCCATTCTTGATAAAATCAGCGAACTAGGCATGAAAGGGAATTTCTTCATCCTAATAAAAAGCATCTGTAAAAACCCTACAGGTAGCATCATGTTTAATGAAAGACAGTGTTCTTTCATTTTCATCATGTTTCATCATGTTTCATCATGTTTCATCATGTTTCATCAAACAAGGCAAGGATGTCCCCTCTCACCACTTCTATTCAACATTGTTCTGGTGATTTTTAGAAAATAAAGGACATTGAGGTTGGAAAGGACAAAGTGAAACTGTTTCTATTAACAGATGATAATGGTTGTCTATATAGAAATTGTGATGGAATCTATTATTAAAAAGCAATTAGAACCAATAAATGAATTTGCAAGGTTGCAGGATACACAATAAATATACAAAACTCAATTGCATTTCTATATACTCGCAATGAATAATTGGACATTGATTAAAAAAAAAACAAGCCCACTTGTATACAGTAGCATCAGAAACCTGATATACTTAGGGATGTGTGGGAGCTATATACTATAAACTATAAAACACTGCTGACAAAAATTAAGAAATGACACAATAAATGGAGAGATATACCATGTTCATGGATAAGACAATGTTAAGATGTCCGTTTTCCCCAGATGGGTCTACCAATTCAATGCAATCTCATTCAAAATCTCAGCAGGCTTTTTTTTTTTTTTTTTTTGGTAGAAATTGAAAAGCTGATCTGAAATTCAGATAGGACTTCAAAGGACTTAGAATAGTCAAAACAACTTTGAGAGAGAACAAAATTCTCTGTAGTAAGAGGACTTACTACCCAACTCGAAGACTATTTTAAGGCCATAGTAATCATTGATGGTGTGGTATCGGCATAAAGATAAATAGATTGACTCGATGGAATAGAGGATCCAGGAATATATCTACATATATATTGTCAATTTACTTTCAGTGAAGGTGCAAAGGCAATTTGGTGGAAAAAGGTATTCTTTTCTACAAATGGTGTTGGAGCAATTGGATAATCATAGGGAAAACAATGAACTTCAGTCCATACCTGGCACCATATACAAAAGTGACTCAGAGGGATCATAGATCTAAATGTAAATCTTAAAACTGTAACCCTTGTAGAAGGAACCATAGGAGAAAGTCTTAGTGTTACTGGGCTAGACCATAATTTCTTGGGTAAGATGATCTGTAAAAGAAAAAATTGGTAAATTGGACTTTGTCAAAATCAAGAAATTTTGTTCTTTGAAAGATACTTGTTAAAAAGATGAAAAGACAATCTACAGATGGGGAGAAAATATCTGCAAATTATATAGCTGATAAAGGACTTGTATTCAGCATATATAAAGAACTTGCCAGACTCAACAATAAGTAAACAATCTAACGAAACAATGGGCAACAGACTTGAAGAGACTCTTCACCAAAGAAGATATAAATGGGTGGCAGATAAGTTAATGAAGATGTTCATGTTATTCTTTATTGATTAGGGAAATGTAAATTAAAACAGTAAAGAGATACCACTTTATACTTGTTAGAATGGCTAAAACTGAAAAGATTCCTCATACCGTATTTTGGTGAAAACAAAGGTTTTGTGTTTTGTTTGTTCCTGTGTCTCCCATGCTTGGAATGGTGCCTTCTAAATAAGGGTGTTGAAAGAACGTCAGTTGCCCATTTTCCAAAGCACTGAATGATAAGTGCATGGGATAGATTGAATTTATGCTTAGCATAATTTTATCTTTAACTCTTGATTTTATAAGTATTATAGGCATTATTTTGGGGCACCTGGGTGGCTTGGTTGGTTAAGTGACTGCCTTCAGCTCAGGTCATGGTCCTGGAGTCCTGGGATTGAGTCCCACACTGGGCTCCCTGCTCATCGGGAAGTCTGCTTCTCCCTCTGATCCTCCCCCCTCTCATGCTCTCTCTCTCTCATTCTCTCTCAAATAAATAAAAATCTAAAAAAAAAGTATTATAGGCATTATTTTGAAAATCATTTTAAATTTGAGTGTTTTACCTATAAAAGGTATAAGATGTTTGGCCAAACATAATCCCAAAGACAGACTTAGTCTTCTTTTTCTAAATCTATTTTTATTATCATCTTAGTAGCTTTTTATTGTAGTTTTGTAAGAGTACAGAATGTGTCAAAAAGGGAAAAGGTAATATGAACTTGCCTGCCTCTCTTACATTTTCCTTCCCACTTAGAATTGCTTGCTTAAACTTCTATGATATAGTGGTTTTTAAAAATCCCAGGAGTTAGCTCTGCCACTGGCTCTGCAACCTTGGCTAAGTTATATAACCAGCCTATTCCTCTGTCTTGTTGGGGAATTTCCTCTGAGGAGTACATGAGTTTGTGTAATATTGGTAAATCACTCAGAATAGTGCTTGGCACAGAAGGGCTCAATAAATGCTAATTATTACCTTTAGTGTTTTTACTAGGCTTATGATATTATGCATGTACAATGTCTAGTGGAGTATCTGGCATTTATTAAGTGCTCAGTAAAGGCTAGTGGATCTAATTTAAATATTCAGATGCCAATATGTCTAAAGAGACTGTGTCTTTGGATCTCTGCATTTGTCATATCTTTAGTGACTTTGTTTTAGGATATGAGGAAAAACATTTTAGTTTCTATATTGGCTTTTCCTAATAGGTACAAGTTACAAAGTTACAGAAATTTGGATGTGTAATTATTTTCTCATTTCTAAGTTTAGGTAATTCGTTAGGGCACTGTCCTCAAGTTTATGTTTATTTTTATTATTAAAAAGTATAGATCTTCGACTAATATAATTTAGCATAGTAATTTTTTTTGATAAGGCCTGTCTCTAATCTTTATTCTTTTTTTTTGCTACCTCCTTATAGGCTTGTGGAATCTTGCTTCTCTCTTTTCCAACCTTTGTTTATTTGTGTTGATGCCCTTTGCCTTTTTCTTTCTGGAATCAGAAGGTTTTGCTGGCCTGAAAAAGGTAAGGGAATCATATTTTGGAATTAAACTTGTCAAATTAAGAAGTATATGTCATTCATGTTGAACTAGTAAAAGCAGGCTTGAACCACCATTTGAAATACAAAAGTTTAATTAGTAATAATAACATCTTATTAATATTAATCATGTTGACAGTAATATTAATAATAGTGCATATTGAATGATTTTGTGTGCCCACAGGGAGGAAGTCATCTTTTGACCTTTGAATATTTACTTGGTGGAATGTTTGTAGAGAATAAAGCTGATAAAATAGCCGTTCTTCCTTTCCTAGGCTCTCTCGCATTTAGTTTAAAGCATGACATGAAATTCTCAAAATATTAAAACATATCTTGATGTAAAAGTTATTTTGTATCTCGTATTTTCAGAAGAGTAGCATTTTATAAAATCAAATATGCCCTGTAGATAGTCAAATCCTCAAGATACTGTGAGTTACTGATCTTAGTGAATGTGGGAGGTTAGAAGTAAGCAAAACAGGAGACTTTGCAAGGGCATCTTAAACAATCAGTCCAGACTGTATCAGTGGTAATAACTTCATCTGTCTTTGAATATAACATTTTAAAGCGAAACGAACAATGTTTCTGTTTATAGCTTGTGGAGGTCTTTGCTATAAACATTTGGAATATAATACAAAGATTTAAGTAGTTAATACTTTTTGGCAAAAAAAGTCTTTATAGACACATTACACCTTTTTAGTTGTTAGTTCTATTCGTATTGTGATACATAAAGTTGAAAGTATGCCTATGCATCTTATTGTTGAATATATACTATAACGCCAATTCCATAAATTTGGCAAGGGAAGCCATAAACTGAATTTTTATGACTTTTTATTTCATATAACTTTTTGTAGGTACTTAGGAATGAAATTGTTTAGTCTCACATTTTGACAAGTCTTCTGATTTTAAACCTTAAGTGCAGCACTTTTTAGGTCTGTGTGTTGAAGGATGCCGGGAAAGAGTCACTGAGAGGTGATAAAGTGTTTAGTGCATGCACCTTTTTGCTTTCTAGATATTATTCCATACTTGCGTAGTTTGAAGCTGAAAACTCAGAGTTGATTTCATATATAGTAAATGTACTGAGATCAGAATGGATGGTTGTATTTGGTAGTCAACCTGACATTGAGAAAATTGGCTTTGATATATTGGAATTGTTTTTTATCATGATGTATTTGAATTATTTAAGTCATCTATATAATGTGAAAGAATTGTGTAGTTTCAGTTTAAAAAGTTCTTTGAATGTTTATGACTTCTTGAAGAAATTATAGGAGTTTTGCTGAATGGGATTTGGTACAAACCTTCCTTTTATAAGGAGAAAACTGAGGTCCAAATATATTAAATATTATTAAATTGTCTAAGGGCCATATATGTACAATTCCAGAACTGGTACTAAAACCTAGGGTCACTTTTAACCATCCCAAAGTGGTTGTGATCTTCACATGTCAACACTATGGAGTTTACTGAGGCCACCCAAGTGGATGAGGTGGCCAAGGACAAATGAGGCTGGAGCAGAAAAGAGGACTATATGGCCTGCTGGCAGAGGAAGGAAGCAAAGGAGACTGCTGAGCAGGTCCTGCCAGAAAGCAGGGGAGCAAAAGGAGTGTGGTTTTCTGGGAGCCAGAAGACAAGAGTTTCTAGAAGAATGGAATGTAAAATATTGTGTTAAAGAGGGCTGGAAAGAACATCAAGAAGAAGTGAGAGCATAGGAGACACCTGAGAAAGCGATTTCTGTATAATTTTAGAGCCAAAGCTTTTGATGGATATTCATTCATTCAACAGAGTTTTACTAAGCACCTACTAAGAAGTAATTATTATGCTTCTACAGGACCTTGCTGGGGACAGAAATGAAAAGGCAGGGCTTCTGCCTTCCAGGGATAGATAGAAGGAGAAAGAAGAGGTGCAATCCAATAGGATGCAGTGTGATGAACTTTCATACAGCCAGCTGTGATGGGAGGCACTACAGGGAGTGAAGATCTTGATTTGCCTAGGGAACTGGGGAAAGGCATGGATTCTGACTGGATTGAGGGAATGGCTGACACTTAGCTATAGAACGGAGAATTGGTGAGAGATCAGGGTACATGGAATCTTGTTGGGGTCACATCCTGGAGGCCTTGAATGCTCTGCCAGTTAGTTTGGATTTTGTGCTATAGATAATGGAGTTGGCAAAAGATTTTTGAAAAAGATTTTTGCATCTACTGTTTTATTTAAGTATAGAGATAAATACCCATGTCAGAGTTCAAACATATGTCACTAAGGGGAGGAGTACATGTAGAGATATCACCATACTGAATCAGTCACACACCTAGTCCTGTTAAACAGTGTTGCAACATATGTCCCCAACATTGTTGTGTTGATGTTTGCTTTAAATATGCAGATTGTTCTTTTGTCCTATCTCTGCCTTGTGTGTAATCTTACCAAGTACAAAAACAATTGGTAAAGCTCAGTGTTAAGTGTATTTTCATATTTGGTAGTATACGTGTCTCTACCTAATTTATACTCTTTATAAAATTCTAGTTTTTAGTTAAATAGGTTATTTTAAAAAACTGTGTAATGTGGACAGACCTCTTGTCTCCAAATTGTTTTCCTCCCTTGTTGTGAACTAACCAACTAGAAGAGGGGGTTGGCTACATTTATTGGAGCAGAACTACCATCTCTAGAATAAAAAAAAAAACTGACAAAACCCCAGTGACATGTCACTGTTCTCTTGTTCCCCCTTGTAGACTAAGGTCCAAGGGGAGAAGCAGCTTGAGGAAGGACACAGGAAGGTACTTGAAGATATTTCATACCTACCACTGTACAGCATTCTTTCCTCTTAAGTTTTTTACGTCTAGTCTCTCTATACGCACTTAAAAGAATATTCTTTTCTAAGCACATCTTTGACTATGTTAGTCTCAGAATCCCTCAAGATGACCAGCTCCATTTCGTGATCTCAGAGGGGACTGATGTGTTGGCTGACTGTAGGGTACAGTCGACATGACCAGTCCAGGTGATTCCCCAACTCAGCAAAGGATCTAAAGGAGGGCAAGGAGACAGAGCTCAGAATGATTGGTTACCATTTGTCCAACTTGCGTCTCTGGACAATGATTGGGCGTTGTAGGAACCAAATGAAAGAACTTAGTCTTTAAAACTATTAGAAGAGGGAAGGGAAGGGAAAATGGGGCTGTAGCCTGGAGGCAGAAGAGGCAGAATGATTCTGCTCTTTCTGCACCCAGGGGCCTGTGGCAGAGAGATGGAGGGTGAGGGTGCTAAGGTGAGAAAATTTGCCCTTTGAGTCTCACAGCCTGGGCTAGTTTTTTCATCTGGACCTCAGGTTCTCTTTCTGTAAAATGAGTATGGTAATGATTGTTACCTTACTGTATTATTTAAGGATTAAATGAGAGGAGATTATTTATGTAAAACACATAGCCCAGGATATGTTAGCTATTAGTGCCATCATTCTAGAGCTTAATGCATTTCACCAATAAATGTTCTGTGGGATCATCAGAAAGCAACTGAATACAGTACAGTCAGTTCTTAATTATTCACATATTATCTTGGGCAATTTTAAAGTTACAAATTATTTTTCCCATTTTGAAATGACATGGACTGAAGCAAAATCAAACCGGCTTGAAGATAAGGTGCATTCTAGACCCTGTTAGAATTGTTTGGAAAGCTTTAAAATTAAGGTAATTGTGACATATTATTTTAAATACTCATATTTTTCAGTTTTAAAATCAATTACATGAAAGTTGCAAGGGTTATTAGCATTGCATGGTTAAGTCTTAAATGTGTAAAGTATATGTTTAAGCCTTTCATTGTTACGCCTTTCTCTAATATACGATCCTAGGAGTTGACTTGTGCAGGTTTTACGCAGTGTTTGTTAAGATCTGTCGTTCTTACAGTGTTGTAGACCGTACCCCAGACTTGTACTGCTGCCTCACTGAAGCGAATGTATCACAGACAGTCATTGACTTTTAACACAGCTGGCTAGCAAGGATATTCCTTTGTGTATATCCTTTAAAGCTTTTTGCTCATTGGCATTAGACACATCTAGTCTGAAGGGATATTGAAGAGGGCTTAGAAAACACTTCTAATTGGTAGATTCAGCACAATGATTTGAGTAATGACAAACTTGAAATATGGTTAAGTTAAATTTCTTTTTTATTCCTTTGGCCACCCTCCTGGTGCTGTTTTACTATGTCTAAGTCTGGTGGAGTCCCTAAAGGGCATATGGCTCCACCATACTCCCATTGATTCCCCTGGGCAATCGATTTTAAAACAGCCCCTTGCATATTGTGCCGAGACGCGGAAATTGGCCACTAGCCACGGGCGGATGCAGAGCTTGAATTGAAAATCAAATTAAGCAGAATTCTCTACTTAGTTTTTAATTAAACCACTATGTTAATTCAAACAGGACATTTTAGGCCTGGGGGGTTGACCATGCCCTTTTAAGGGCCTTAAATAAGCCTTTCTTCTCTCTCCTTACCATGGTGCATGTTTCTATTTTATTAGGACCATCTCCTCACTATTCCCATTCTTTATATTCTCAAGGGTAGGAGAATGTAAATGGTTTTGATAAAGCAAAACATTTTTTTAGTAAGAAGGTAACTTTTATCTTAGAACTCTAACATTGTTAGCACTTAAATGTTTATCAGATTTATATTATTAATCACCTCTGTGTATCGTGTCAAGCATTTTATATGTTCATGTGTGTTTGAACCTGATCCCATGCTTGCATCTTAATGTTTGTTTCAATTCTGATAAAACGCTTGCATCTGCTGAATGTTGTGTGTTGTGGTGGAGATCCTTTCTCCGCAGTTTTGTCTTGGTCACTCAGTCATATACCAGACTACAAGGGTATTAGGGCCAACAGCACTGCTGTTCCTGTCACACCTCAGATCAGCTGTGTGGTTTTCTCTTCCCATTCTGCCTCAGACAGACCTCTAGGTTATGTGGGATGATGTCAGAAGATGTTTGCTGATTGCATCGTGAACTCTGAAGGTCTGACCTC